AACCGTTCGCCTGTTTATTATGCCTTGTTACGATTTGTTATGCCAATTATATACTTTGATGTCGTCGGCATCACAAAGAGATCCTCTGGGATCGTTAATTCCTGGATTTGTTATGCCAATTATACATCTGCGTGGCCTCATTTGGAATTCTTGTCGTTCAAAAACTGGATAATTGGGATAAGGATAGCGACATTTTAAGTCAATTTGTTTATTTATTAAACAGATTGACTTAAAATTTCGCTTTGAAAGTTAAACTTTCGAACCAATGATTAAAATTTGGATTTCAGAAGGTTGTATTGCACACATTGCGCAGTTGTCTCAACAAAGAAGGATATATATTTCAGCCTTTGCATTCGCATAACCTACAAAGGTTTTTTTTCAGTTTACAACACTTCAATCAAATTATAATTCAATAAAATACGATTACTTCAGCAACTTTAACTTCTTCAACTCTAACGAAAAACCTTAAATTTGTATTGCAGTTGTTTTCCAAGCAGAAACCAGGAAACTCCAAATGCATTTCTTTGGGTACCTAATCAATTATAATTCACAACTGCCAAAACTGTTTGATTAAGTGACAAAATGTTAAACACTCAATTCAGTCTCGTCATTATGCCACATAAAAGTGCGTGTTTAATAGCTTTCGCCCAACGGCCGCTCTTGATGTGCACCTGAGTAATTTATAAAATCTGACTCTACACATTCATCTGCATGGAAATTACCTGTGATTATGTAATTAGAAGTAGTGTATTCCATGGTTGTGGCTGTCAAAATGTAATTACATTAATCTGTAACGATTTGATCAAATGTTATTAAACAAATTAAGACAAACAGACTTTTGTAGATTTATTGAAGTTCATCAATTTGTTGGGTGTTTTGGCTCGGACCATCTCGCGTTTATGGGGGTTTTTATATTATGATCGGATTTGTGTATAATATGTAAGTTATCAATAGGAATTTGAGTTGTTCATCGTTGTTCGATCCTAAAAGCTGAGATTAGCCTGCTACCATTAAAGTATTATATTGTCTGTGCTGCTACTATGTATTTATTTATTCGTCCAAAGGCCAGAGGCCAGTACATTGAGAGACAGTTAAATGAAATGAATGAAATGAAATGAAATGAAAAAGTGCTTTATTAACACAAAAATAAACTGCATAAATACATATGAACTTATAACTAAACATAATCTTCTGCATAACAACAACAAAATTACTAAAAACAGCACATTACAGCAATGGTCATAAGACCGTCTGCCGGGTTGACAACATTTTGTTTTATACTAATTTCACATGTTTATTTTATAACTAAACATGTGAAATATTTGTAATAAGCTATAATATGTATATTGTTTTGCTGCTAGACATTGAATTCTAAAACCAAATCCCACCTATACTTCCAAGCCTCTTTAAGAAAATTTGCCAGCGAACGCCAATCCTTACCATTAAGAAAATCTATAAACTCTGAGCGAGTTAAAATAGGTTTCAATAGCCATTTATTTCTAATTTGTGTTAAAATTGGACAACGAGCAACAAAATGATAAGTGTCCTCATTCTCATTTAGATTACACAAAGAGCATATAAAATTAGCGTCTGTCATCCAAGGTTTAAAATTTAAGGAAATAGTCTCTGTCCTTACTTTGAATACCCATCGTCTAACAATATCAGGAACGTTATCTGATAGATATCCATTATCTCCAAGGTCAAGATTCAGTGAAGCATAAGTTGTGTGGTATCGTGAGGCCAATGCCGCCTGGACTAACCCCCGCCTGCTCTCCCCCCTTACTGCCTCTACTACTGATAACAGGTGTCGCTGGGTATCCTCAATGGAATTCACATCAAAGGATAATTCAATTCCATGTTTACTTCCAAGACCCTTCCAATCTCTGCTCCAATAAATATTTTCGCTGATTATTTTCTTTGCTAATTTATTTGGTAGACGGTTCGGCGGCAGTGACAGAGCAATTCAATCAATTGATTTATTGAAGTTCATCAATTTGTTGGGTGTTTTGGCTCGGACCATCTCGCGTTTATGGGGGTTTTTATATTATGATCGGATTTGTGTATAATATGTAAGTTATCAATATGAATTTGAGTTGTTCATCGTTGTTCGATCCTAAAAGCTGAGATTAGCCTGCTACCATTAAAGTATTATATTGTCTGTGCTGCTACTATGTATTTATTTATTCGTCCAAAGGCCAGAGGCCAGTACATAGAGAGACAGTTAAATATTAGACTACAGAATATTAGTATTACATTATTCGGGCTTTGACATGGCAACAGTGATGAAACAAACTTACAGTGAAACTTCAAAACCCTTAATAAATCACTGAGTCTGCAGGTTAAATAACAGATATCTAAGATTGAGTTTGATGGATTAGTATCATGTTAACATGGGTGTTGGATATTGCAAGTCCCTGTAATAAAAATCCGGACCCTATTTGATGTGTTTCTTGTAGTGTATGGTGTCCCAATTTCTTATGATAATTAAATAAAATTAAAACTATGGGCTTTCTCCCATTTCATGGTATACTTTACAATGTCCGCCTTACTGTTATGTGACGATACCAGAAGATAAGCAAAATAGTATAAATAAATCTTTCTATTTTGTCATAATATTTATTTATTGTCATAATAGAAGTATGCAATATAACGCTGTCTACAGAATCGAATAGAAACATACCTTAAATCGTCTAAATGAATATACAAGGGAAACTGTTTTGTGTATTGTGTTACTAGCTACAGCTACAAGAATTCATTGAACTTCAGCTTCGATTTACTCATGTAAATTCACCTCAAATGTTTTGTAATTTATTTTCAGTTACTTAACTCATTTCACGCACGAACAAGTAATGTCGCAACAATCAATAATCATTCATAGTTACATTGGTAACAGGGCCACAAATGTAACCGTTACTTGGCTGTCACCGATCATGCATGTAATCGATACCAGGAAGTATTGTTTTTACTCTCGCGAAGCCAAATAACCGTCACAGGCACAATCCTATGGTCGATCAACCGCTTCGCATGTCATTCGTGGTTGCATTTACTTTTTTGGAACGTTTAAGGTGTTTGCTTAACCAACCGGATTCTTCAAGAGTAGGCTTACTAGCATATTCTTTAGATGAAATTTTCAAAATTGAATGAACATTTTTAATAACTGCAGAATGAATAATTCGGAAAAACACTTTATTTTGTGATTATAGTCACGTAAAATGTTATTATGCATGTCCATGGAAATATTGGACAGACTTCAGTACAACCTAAACTATACAGCTCTCTAAAAACGATTCTTAAAAATAGCTGATCTTAAGTAAGTAAGACAAGACATCACACTCCATTCAACACTCATGTGCAGGTTAAAGTACGCGTTAATTGTCTCCTTAACTCAATTTTGTACCTAATGAAACTATAGTAAGGACATTAACCGGACTAAATCATGAGTTCAATATAGCAACAAAAAAAAAAAAAAAAAAAAAACCGCCCGAACTATATGTCTTTCAACATCAACTCTCAACTTGATAGAAACCACAGATTATATACACATTTAGGTGAGTGTATAAATCAATCAGTTATTTTCCTGTAATTTTAGCATAGACTAGCCAACATAATTAAGACTATGGGAGTATGTTTTTTTCTACGATTTTAGTCAGGCGAGAAGACTTTTACAGACTGCAAAATATAGTGGGCAAACACATTCGCTTTCGTACAAAAAAGCACCATGTCCGTCTTCGATGGACAAAAATGTTCATGGAATTTACGCGAGGTCTACAGTATCAATAGATACTTAGCGACTCGAATTTTTCACAATCTAGTTTAACAGTAGTGATGAATATCAGTGTCACCAGACGGTGTCTTCGTCTTGTCTACGGGAAAGTGCTTTACCGTCCATCGCAGGTCGGTTTGTGGGTCACACGACAAGAAGCGGCGCCAAAAACCTCTCTCTTGTCAAAGCTGGTTTGAGATACTTAGCTTCTGTAGCAACAGTTGACGTACCATTGGACTGGTGAAGGGATAAGTTTTGATCGTTGAAAGTGAAAGGTCCAAACTGTCAGATATAACAAATGCTAGTTGATTTACTCTGTTAATATTTAGTACGTTTGGGTGATTCTTCTTTCTTCGGGCAAGTTTAATACTAAAGATAAATTGCGTTCACATATGAACGCATATAAAATAATATACTATTCCTCATAAGGAAGTAGTAATGAACACCTAAGAAATTCTTAAAAGGTGACTTATCTTACGCATTTTTAAAGATGTCTTTGAATCAACATCATCATCCTGTGTTGGCCTGATACCGTTTCTGTAAATTACATGTTTCGTAGTGTTCCAGTGCAACTTGCCAGGAAATTATGTGTGGACTGCGGAAAACTTGAAAAACTTTCATAATACTGCGATAAGGTGGAAATCAGATCAGGTATACAAATTTAAATAATCTTTAACCAACCAAAACTGATAACAACCTTTCCAACTAAAAATTCCAGTCTCTGTTTGATAGTGATTAAGATTGAAATAAACATATCCAACGTACATAACCAAAGTATTTTTTACTTTCCTTAATTTCTGTCCAACTGCATTTCACAAACCGTTAATCATAACTATTCCCTTCCCTAACTATTCCCTATTATGGACTTAGAAGGGAGTTTGCTGCTGCACTCGTCAATTATGCGTTAACAAATCCATACCTAGGTATAGGAAGCGAGCTGGTCTAGTGGTAGAGCGCGGGGCTTTGGAGCCCGAGGTCCCGGGATCAAATCCTGCCAAATCACCAATGGATTTTGTCTATGTCTATCATTGGGTCGAAGAACTACACCTCAACCCTCTAAGACTAACATGAAGTTATGCGTTAAACAGTTCTGGGCTAGAACCTAGCGTCCTATAATGCGAAGGTGGGGCATATGCAAACAAACAGCCAGGCGGAACTGTACCAAACAGAAACATTTCTTCTGAAACGACGTTTACTGTTTGTCCTAGCTAATTCTAATCTACTGTTGATGTTACAGGCCATGGCGTACCGTGGACTATCACGGCACGTAGACCTAGAGTCCTGCCCGGAGCCGGGGGATCGCTTCTCACTGCAGGAGCTCATAGGAGAAGGCACCTACGGCGAGGTCTACAGTGCCAGAGATGCGGTCACTGGTGAGTAACAGATACTGTAGCTGAGTTGTAAGAACATGCATGGATATAAAACTAGTAATCTGATAACCAGCTCGATCTTGGGAGGTCAGTTGTTGTTTAGCAGTTCCAAATGGACCTTGTCTTTGGCCTGGCATATCCCACTCCGCTTGCTGGTCACTTCGGGTCCCTCGCGGCACATGCCCTGGTCCTACTCCGCGCCGTCCAAGTATACACTGCATGACCATTAACCTAACCTAACCAAACTTACCTAACCTAATCTAACCTGTCACATGAATAAAGTAGTTGTGAACAAATAAAAGTGGAACATTACTTTTGAAACAAACTGTATGTAAAGAATATTTTATTTTAACACTACATCTCATCCGAGAGCACAAGTAAAGTTAAAGATTGATGAGCATAGAGTTTACTATCCCCCTTTGACTATTGGTCTTTCAACTGGTTCTGACCAAGAAGCAGCAGATGTTTTTCAAAAGCTACACACATCAATCTCGTCTTACATATATTAAAATTAAATTAAATCATGTTCAATCATACAAGTAGTTTCGATCAACAATGTATTTTTGTTTATGTATGTTTGTTGAAGTTACGCCAACACTCTATGATGTGGTTGTATTGTCAAGGGTTGAATCTTCACTATAGCAGGATAGTGTTTACCATCTTTAGAGATGACGGGAAAAGAAAACGGAATGGAAGATTATCATCTGTGCATATCTTTTACGGAAATGTACGATTGTAAACCTCGACAAAACTCCCGGTATTTACTTCTACATTAAGACCTCGGCGGTTAACGTACTTGCTTCATCTAAACACGCCGCGGTGTGACCGATTCTCGCCTTTCCCCGGGTCTCCTCGGATCAATCAGCTGGCAGGAGGACGGTCTGAGGACTTTCACCGAAACGTGCGAATCCGCGGCAAACTCAATCGATTGGCGCGAAAGCCACTTTCCCTCGACCGTCACTTTGTTATCTACGTTATCTCGATAGAGGTGCAACGGTTTGTATGCGGGTATAAACACTGAATAAATAGTAAATGTTGGTAGGTCTATATGGAATAGTTTTAGACGTCTTTAGAGGAACTGTGCTTTGCAGTGATATTTTGCTTTGCAGTATGTACTGACCGTTTTTAGCTGTCAAACTCCTTTAATAAAACGAATCAGCTATTTTTGATCATTGGGTTTTCAACAAATTGTCCTAGCTAAAAAGAACAACTGATTTTAATCGGTAACAACGGTAACAATGCTATATACCACTAGTAACAGTTAGTTTTACAGCTTACAGCGTAAAATTATTACAACAATAATTTTTTTTGTACCATCATATTCATTCAACACTCAACGTCCACTTATTTCCGCCTTAAATATATATTTTGGCATGTCATCATATAACTATCCAGTGCAATTACAAAAGAACATCGTATATATTATTTTTTAAGAACTTATATTCATTTATGTATTTTTTGTTTGTAGGCCCTATTCACAATGGATACACTACAGTGTGTTTTTCTGGCAAGATAACCAAAACAAATTCAAATTCTAGTCTACGTAGTTACGCCTAGCTGTAAACTATTTTTGCTTTAAAGCAAATTCAAATCTGCAATTCAAAAGATGAGAATAAATGTTTATTTAGGCCTGTTTTTTAGTTACGTGTAAATTTATAAATTCACGTAAAGACCGTACTTTAGGATCAAACCATACATTCCAATAGGTTATGTCGTTTATGATTTTGGATTGACAAGTACAGTAGCTTAGTATTGTAAAGAATACGAGTCTCACTAGTTTTTTTGGGGTTTTGTTTGCCACTAGAGTCGAGTCCGTTAATCTGTTAGGTTGTCATTATTTGTTTAGTTATGACTTATGAATTTTCGTAGTTTCTATTAAAATATTACCGCTATAATGTTTTACCAGTTTCCCTCTCCACCCATAGCTGCAACATTGCTGAGCGATTGTAATGGAGGAACAATGGAAGCCGTAACAAAAGATTTTGATTGACAGATCAATTTGTGGATGTTACAAAGTATGCTGGCCATATTCAGGACAGTCGGTCGTTAGAATACTGAATGTTTGACGTGTTCATTTTGCTATGTGAAGTCCATTTAAATAAATTAAAAAATATGTCACAACATATTTGGCTAAAGCCTATACAAAAGTATTAATTCAAGCTCTACTGTATTTATAAAGGTTTGTTCTTACTCCGTTATGTACGAGATGAGTGTGATATTCACAGTACAAGAAATTGTAAATCATTCTAAACCCACAAAATAAATAACATTAAGCTAATGAGATATTTTTAACTCCATCCATAATTTTCAATTCTCTACATTTTGCTACACCAGCCTCTCGTACCTAAATTGGAGACTATTTCTTTGTGCATATATGATTTTACCTAAATGTACTTGATAGAATAATTTCATATTTAACTACACTCATGTTAGATGTTTAAAAAATATTATTTTAAACATAACCCTCATTTTTGTTACGTGTCTGATGGTGCTACCATAGCCGGCGAAAGGCCTCATAAAAAAATAATTCATGAAATATTGGTGACCTTTTTATTTGAAATATTATTGAATCCAATATTAACAGTTCCTCATGAAGATTGAATTACTAATGTTTACATACGTAAATGGCTAAAGTGTTTTTGTAAAATAGTGTTGGAGTTTTTTGGCAACTCCATAAATGAAACCAAACCGTTACAAAAATATGTACACAATTTTAAACCTATGACACGATGAAGATTATACACGACCAATTAACTTAAATGTAGCCACCAATGTTTGCTCTTCAGGCATTTATTGGAAGGTATATTGCAAGCAATTTGCACAACATTTCCCTTGTAGTAGAGAACACATATAAAAGTTGTCTCCTCTTCCTTTGAAGTTCATTTTTGGTGATGGTAGGTTTGTGTTGTTGGAGAAATTATAGGAAAATTATGTATCGCGTGATGGAAAATGTCCTCAATTATTTCCAAAAACACAATTCTTCTCTCACTCAGACGAGTAAAATTTCAACAATCGCTTTCTTGGAAGCCACATCAGGGCATTCCACCTGTTTGGGAACTGATTACGATCATTTCAGGGAAGTTGCAACAATCAACTCAGCTGTTTCAACCAATTTTAACCAAAGCATTTCAGTTCTCTGCTTTATGATACAGGGGTGCCAACATGAAATGTTTGCTTGTTCTTGTAACAGTTTTAGGACGAATTGTTTCGTACTGAATTGTTCAAACTCCTCCATCATTTTTGTTGCCCACGTACTTCAACCGTATATAAAGTTTCCCATTCAAATTTAAATTCGATGTAACTGTTAAGACTAATGTAGCATCTGCATAATTTCTATGACGAATTTTCCACTAACACGCTGAAAAATAATTATCCACACTAGAGCGTTGTCTCTATTAGAATCGCAGTAATAACGTTGTCTCGGCGAGCATCAAATTAGTATAATCACGAAATCATCTGCATGCATTGTTATACTCGAGCTGACACTCATTCAAATCCTCACATCATGCAAATGCTGCTAGTTAGTGAGTAATTTGCGTGGAAAAAATTGATTTAAATACATTGTAAAAGTGCGTGAGGGAAGCCGTATTTACCTAATTGAGAGGCCGATGGGTAACTTGATAACTAAAATTGCCAATACGGAAACAATCTTTCGCGCAATCTTTTAATTGTTTAGAAACTTCCCGATTTTTAATTAACGTGCTCTAAACACAAGATGTAAACCAATCTCCCGGCAAAAACTTGAACCAACCTGATTAACATCTGAAGCCAGATCTGTAATCTGTACTGCGTGTAGGAATCGAACTCGTAAAGGTTAGTGGAGGAGAGAGTGTGTAGCTATATACGTTAGTGGTTGGTTAGATACCAACTAGTCAAGGACAACATACTCCAGATAAAGGCAATGCAGATATTGGTGGGAAACATGTCAAATTACGCATTTTTATACTGTTTAACTCTTCACTACAACTAAAAGTCAAAACTATTTAAATCTGGAAATATTTTACTAAGGAATTGAGGACTTTTAAGACCCGAAATATTTATAATTTCAGTAATTTCAGTCATTTCTGATCTGGGCAAATCTGACGTAAATCTGGGATACCGTTTTTCCATTGCTTTAAGGAACGGTCAGGATGGTATACCAATTTCCAATACAGTTGTAGTTAACGTTTTTATCCAAGATGGGGTGTGTTGCTCCTAGTGGTTAGTGTCTCGGACTTTAATGAGTTTGGACCGATTTTCATTGAAAGCGTTTGAAATTTACTTCATTGTAAGTACTGGTGTGGGAACTAGCAAAAAACAAATGAAATGTTAAATAAAGTTTCGGACGATCAAGAGAGTTTGGTCTCCTAACCTCTAACCGAAAGATTTTAGTTTTCAAAATATTCTCCACTATCTTCTTAACCTTAGAGACGTGCCCAGAAATAGTTGTCGCGTTTGTCTTGCGCCGAGTAGTACAGCGAAGCACGTAGGAGGCAACTGGTTCTATCATTATACCAGATAGAGTCTAACCAGTTGTAATAACACTTATTGGCAACTCTGTTGATAAATGATTCTACATATCAGATGGTACTGTGGGGTCCTGGTGTTATCTTTGGACATGTTTACAGTATGAAGACTAAATTAGCAATGCTGAACCTGAACGTATGTATGAGTCTTTCGGTATTCATTGGGATCTTGTTCATAATTCGTCTAGTTGGGTTCAATAAAACAATTTTGAACGTTTTAACAAAGTTTTTTATTTACGTTTTCAAACCACTGTGGGTAATTAATTGATGACGATTTGGTGTTTTACTGTACTACAAATTAATCTTTTTCTTACGCGAGGAAAAACAGGGATCTATCTTTTATAAGACACATATTTTTATAAGGATACGTTTTCTATTCAAACAAAAGCACAGAAAACATACTACTATAACCATAACAGCTGAGGTTATGGTAATATGTTTTCTGTGACAAAAGCCTCTTGAAGAAGAAAACGTTACGTTCCTATTATGCTTAGAAGT